TAGATAGATAGATAGATAGATAGATAGATAGATAGATAGATAGATAGATAGATAGATAGATAGATAGATAGATAGACAGACATTAAATGGGGCTGGAGATGTGGCTCAGTGATGGAGTACTTACCTAGCATGTACAAGGAACAAGATTTGAGCCCCGTAGCAAAGGAAAAAAAATTAATAAGCAGCTGTGTAAAATTCTTGATCTATTATAGTAACAGATATTAATCATTTCATATTGCCGATTGCTTTAGATAGATTACCTTAAATTTGGGACAGCCACATCTCATAATTTTTCTATTCCAGTTTTAGCAGGAAGGAAACCGACACTAGGAGGTTAGTAACTGTCACTCACTCTGACATTCAGCACAGCAGGAGTTCTAGCACATTACATGTTTGATCTCAGTCTCCAGGTCTGTTGTCCCTGTGTGATCCAAGCCCCTCACCCTGCATCATCGGGTTGGTGTTTACAGACTGCTCGGCCTCCGCCTAAGACAAAGCAAAGCATCTCCATCAGGTAAGATGGAGACTGTCTCTTGGGATCTGGCAGCAAAGGCCCAATGTTTGGAGACAAGGCCAGATTCTTTACCGCATCCCAGACTTCTCCCAGACATACTCCAAGCAGGGAACTGTCTTCGAGACAAACCCCTGCCCCCCCCCAAAAAAGTAAAATGCCTCCTCTTGATTTTTATCCAGAAGCATCTTAATCTCTCTCTCACTGTGCTTGTGTATAGATTGGGATGTGGCAGTGAAAACTGGAAGTCACTTGAGAAGCCAGTTGCCACTGGTTTAGTTATTCACTTTTTCCTGCAGTTCTCAGACTTCGTGTTTACTGTGGAAGAAGCCCCAAGATGGCCAACAAAGCCTTGAGTTCTGGAACCAAGGCCCGTGTAAGTGTGTGTTTCCTTCCTTCTTAAAATGTACTGGTCAGCAGCCACACTGGTGGAAACCCGTGAACTGTGGACTGACAGCTGTGGAGCCCCCATAGGGCTAGACTAGGCCCTCTGGATATGGCAGACAGTTCTTTAACTTGAACTGTTGGGAGGGCCCCCAGGCAGGGGGATCGGGATCTGTCCCTGGTGCATGGGCGGACTTTTTGGAGCCCAGTGCCTAGGGTGTGACACCTTGCACAGCCTTGGTGCAGCGGGGAAGGGCTTGGACCTGCCTCAGCTGAGTATGCCAGGCTCTGCTGACTCCCCATGGGAGACCTTGACTTGGAAAATGTGGGGGTGGGGTGGGTGGGGGAAAGCTGGGGGATGAGTAGAGGGAAGGGGGGAAATCTGTGGTTGGTATGTAAAGTGAATAGAAAATTTCTTAATAATGAAAAAATGATAAAAAAAAATGTACTGGTCAGATATGGGGACATTGCTATGAATACCCAGAGCTAAGCAAGCCTTTTCTACTTAGCTACCCCCTGATTTTCCCTATGCCAGTGAATCATGGTCCCATATAAGCTGGTTACTCAATCACTGAATTATTGAGAGTCTCCTGTGTGCTCAGTTTCTTTTTGGTCCAGAGTAATATTATAACAATGAAGGAACAAAATCCCTTGGGCAAAATATTGGCCTCTCTGTGGCCTGAAAAGTTGGACATGCCAGTCCCATTGGACCATAAGAGAAAGCATTGTTCATCTCTACTGACTGGTCTTGTGTTCTGGGTAGGTAAGAAGGAATATGTCCGGTGATCTTCATCTTAGTATATGCTGACATACAAGCTTTGCTAGGTTTCTCAAGTTGACACTGTGTTTAATAGAGTTGTAACCTTGCCATAGAAACCAGGAGATACATTTTGTTGTTGGATGGGCCTGCCAGACCGCCATATGATGCTTAGTCATTTGGTACCAGTGTCCTCTGCATCAGGAACAGGAGAAAGGAAGAACTGACAGTTGTCTCAGTCAGCCAGGTGTATGACTCCAAGAGGTTTAAATCTCATTAGCCTGACTATGTGATAAGATTTTTTGATACTTCTGTTGTTATAAAGGGAGACTGCTCAGTGACTTGAACATTCAGAACACCCAAATATGCAGAGCCTAAAATAAAAAATCTTGAGGCCATCTTGGTCTATATATCAAGTTCCAGGACAGCCAGGACTACATAGAGAGACATACCTCCCACCTCCTAAAAAAAAGAATGTTGTAAAGCCAGACATAATGGCACACGCCTTTAATCCCAGAACTCAGGAGGAAGAAGCAGGTGGATCTCTGAGTTCGAGGCCAGCCTGGTCTACAGAGTGAGTTGCAGGCTAGCCAGAGCTATACAGAGAAACCCTGTCTTGAAAAAACAAAACTAATTAAATAATTTAAATTAACTAATTTAAAAAAATAAAAGATCTTAAAAAGCACATTTTTTTCCTTAAGAACAAAGAGAGAGGGTCTAGAGAAATGACTCAGTGGTTGAGAGCCCTGGCTGCTCTCCTAGAGGACTCAGCTTCAATTCCCAGCACCCACATGGCAGCTCCCAGCCATCTGTAACTCCAGTTCCAGAGGATTCCACAGCCTCTTCGGGCCTCCGTAAGTACCAGGCATATATGTGAGGCACAGACTCATATGCAAAATACCTATCTACATAAAATTAATTTTTAAAAAAGAAGAAGAACAGAGAATATAGCTCACTGATAGAGTGCTGGCCTCCCATGCATGATTCAATCCCCTGAACTCCTGAACTCCAAGAGAAGGTGAGCCAGGGATGTAGCTCGATGAGATGAGATCGAGTGCTTACTTAGCACTTACGGGGCCCTGGGTTTGAGCTCCAGCATGGAGCGGGGAGGGAGACAGCAGCACCCGGGAGAGAGCGAGATCGCTCATCGTAAGATGCTTGCAGACAAGCCTGGTGACCTGAGTTTGATCCCCAGAACCCGTGTTGGAAAAAGTGAGAACCAACTCCCACAAGTCCCCTGAGCATACACAATAACACATGTACATGCACACAGATAAATAAAGAACCTTTAAAGAAAAATCATCTGGATGTAGTGGTGCACCTCTGCAATCTCAGTACTAGGAGGGCGTCTGAGGCAGGAAGATCATGAATTTCTTGTTTTGACTGGGCTACATGACAAGACCCTGTCTCAAAAAGCATAAATATATATATGGCCAGAAATGCCTCAGCAGGTAAAGGCACTTGCCACCAAAGTGCTAGACAAACTAAGTTTGATACTCAGAAACCACAAGAAACAGAAAGAACAACTTCTACAAGTCGTCTTGACCACCACATTGTAGGCATGTGTGTGCCCACATTCACAATTGGAATCACGATGAACTTAATTATTTTTAAGTAATAAAACAAAGATATCATAAGAACCTGCACCCATCGGTAACTGACCAAGCAGGCACTAACAGGTTGTGCTTGTGAACAAAAAGGAAGGTTTTTTCATCTTCTCCCAGGCAGATAGTTATCTGCACAGCCTTGGGCTCTGTAGTAACACAGCAGTGCTCAGCCTGGAACGTGGTGTTCTTGCTGCCATCCATCTTCAGCTAACACAGTGGCAGCCATCACCTCCTTCATCCTGAAGGTCTCTCCTGTCACCTCATCAGGTATATGTGGGTTTCTGTTTTCAGGATTTGGTGACATTCTCTGATGTGGCTATAGACTTCTCTCAGGCGGAGTGGGCCTGTCTGGACTCTGTGCAGAGGGACCTGTACTGGGATGTGATGCTGGAGAACTACAGTAACCTGATCTCCCTAGGTAAGCTGTATACTTCAGGTAACCTAGACTCTGCTCCCCGGAGTATCAGCATTGTCCTGTGATTCTCAGGACCATTTTCCAAGAGACCGTTGCCAGAGAAGGCATTGAACTGATCCGTGTGGAAGTGGACTTCCCAAGCCTTCATCTTCTCATCCAACAGTCATTGGCCCCTTTGGCTGCCCGCCCTTGTGATCATCTCTCTTCCCTCATGATCAAGGGGTAAAGTGGAATTCTGGATGTGTATAACCATCTTCAAGGAAGGTAGCCTTGTCTTTAGATGTTGTGTTTACATCCAAATTGCTGTTCACTTTTGGATTTTGAGGACCCACCTAAAGGGGAAACATCTCAATCGAGAGCTCTGATTTGCTGTTAAGTTAAACACCTTTGTGTTTAACAGAAAGTAAATTAGACACGGAATTTGTGTAAAGCCAAAATGAGGAGATTCCCATTGCTGGAACATTGTACCTGAAGTGAGATGGGAAGTTACAGTCCATGAACCATGTATTTGACGCTGGATGCACATGCCTGCAGTCCCGGCACTCCAGGGGCCAAGGCTGAAAGATTGTGAGTTTGAGGCCAACACATCAGGACCATGTCACAAAATAAAATAATACCAAGAAAGGCTAATGTTAGACCTACTGTATGCCATGCACTCTTTTTTTGTTTGTTTGTTTGTTTGTTTGTTTGTTTGTTTGTTTGTTTTCATTATTTGTTGTTTTTTTGTTTTGTTTTTGTTTTTCCAGATAGGGTTTCTCTGTGTAGCTCTGGCTGTCCTGGAACTCTCTCTGTAGACCAGGCTGGTCTTGAACTCACAGAAATCCGCCTGCCTCTGCCTCCCTGAGTGCTGGGATTAAAGGTGTGCACCACCACCGCCCAGCATGCCATGCACTCTTAAAAGCACAGTGTGTGTATGTGTACAGTTCATTCTCCCAAGCTTGTAAGTCATGACTCTTTCTGTCAGTGTAAGAAATAGTTATACTCAAGTACAAATGACTAGTCACAGGGAAGACAGAAACTGAACTTGCCAGGCATGGTGGCATACTACTGGATATGGTAGTTCACACAAATAATCCCAGCATTGGGAAACTGAAGCAGGAGGATTACCATCAGTCCCTGGGCTACTGAATAAACATACAATTCAAAGTTTATCTCACTCTCCCTCCTCCCCAGAACTGGAATCTGAAGATACACCTCAACTGACATGCCCAAGTCTCAGGGTTCCATCCCCAGAACCAGAAGCGTAATTCTGACAGTAATTCATGCATGCTGGCAGCCATCTTTCTCTGCTTAACTTGAGGGTAAGCAAATGTTTGAGACAGGGTGTTTTCCCAATCATCTGAATTCCTGTTTATTCCTTAAAGCTCTCTCTTTTATGAAGTCTTTATCAATCTCATTTTCAGTTTTCAGTGGCTATAACCTAACAGTTCCTGATTAGAAAAATCTGAGGCAGAGACACCTGTGATCCCGTTGCTTCAGAGACAGACAAGAAGCTTAAAACTTGGAGTATGGCTAAATATCAAGACCCTATTAAATTTTTTGACCTTATAAATTTTTTCTTCAGGGGGCTGACAAGATGGTTCAGTGGGTAGAGATACTTGTTGCCAAGCCTGACAGTTTTAAGTTCAATCTCAAGTACTTACATGGTTAAGGGACGGGACCAACTGCCCCAGGTTGTCCTCTGACCTCCACTCATGGACTGTAGCACATGTGTGTGTCTCACATACACACACTCAGCCAATCAATATAAAAACCATTGTTTTTCTTTCATCTCTGTATTATAGAGCATTGATCCTTTCTTTGTGGTAAGAGCATTATCTTGAAATATGTGAAAGCAGGGCTGGAGAGATGGCTCAGAGGTTAAGAGCACTGGCTGTTCTTCCAGAGGTCCTGAGTTCAATTCCCAGCAACCACATGGTGGCTCACAACCATCTGTAATGAGATCTGGTGCCCTCTTCTGGTCTGCAGGGATGTGTGCAGGCA